GTGCTTTGATTTTATTCTAAAGTTTTTGGTTAGCCTCGATTCATTTGACCATAGAGTTTAGAATTATTTCCGTCTATCCATGACGATGACAATTCTGTTTGTGCAGTATATTCACAGAAGATTTGTTATTTGATTTATAAATTGTGAACTTGGTTTTCATTTTATGTGAGATTTGTATTAACGTACCATTTTAATTACCGAACTATTGGGTAACGCCGAAAACAAAAGAATATGACAATAACAAGTATGCGCTGCTTGTAAATTCATTGCACCCGCATTTGCCCGTTCGATTGCTTTACCATATTTCTGCAAGTTGTGCTATATTCTTGTCAAAGAGCTTTTGAAAGCAAAAATATATTCATAACTTATTCAATAAGAGTGTGACAGAAATATATGACAACTTCCTTTAAAGGCATTTCTACAAAAATGACAGTTTCCCTTAAAGTCAAAGTTTACCATTTGAAATTTAAAATTTTTACATTTTGAAAGTATTTGATGATGAAGTTGTACTAACGCTTTATCTCATAAAGTAACATATTATCAACATATAATGAGCGCTCTGGTTTTTTTGCCAAGCATTTAAGGCTTTCTCTGTGATATTTTTGCCGACCTTGCAACATTACGTGATGTTGGATTACCTGCCATTCTCATCTATGCGAATTAAATATTTTTAAATTCAAATTCGGGTAAGTAATCCTGCTCAAAAACCAAATCTTTGTTCGTAGCAGCTGAACTAATAACAGTGAAGAGCTAACTTTATTCAAAGTGTGCAGCATTCGGTTAATGTAACCATATTTTCTTCCAATATACATATGTACGAACTAATTATTTACTTCTAGGCGCCCTGGCCAAAATTCATACGGTTCGATCAGGCTTCTTATCCCATAAGACGAACGCAGGTGCAATCAGATCAAATTTATAAATTATATAGCACAATACCATAGGAGTGCAAATTATAATTGGCTGAGAGCAGATGTGTAAGCTGTATATCTGAATGCAATGTTGCTCAGTGCATAAAACCGATATGATAACCCGGCACAAAGATCATTCCGTTACCGTAGAAACTAGAATAAATGATGCCAACGTGTTTAATCAATAATGTAATCATGGAATAATGGCTAGGGACAGGATGGCCTAGGGATTTATTCTTGATAAGTAATGATATCTTAATTCGGAAATATTCTAACATCAAAAATTTTACGAGTAGCTCGGCACAAATGCAACTTTGGAGCTGTAAAATTATCTGATTAATGTGCAAAGAGCTTAAACTGCTACTTAAGATGGATTCTTTACTTAATGTTAATATGAGAAAGTAGTGATTTTAACGAGAACAATACTAATAGACATGAACTCACTCAAGTGTTTTATTGCAACTGACCAATGGCCAAATACCCGCTGGGGATATCAATAGCACCAATAACCCTCTCAATATCGAAATCATCTAAAACACTTACGTTGGTTATTTCTTTGACTGCATACTTCTCCAAAAGTACGAATGTTTTTGTACATATAGCCACAAGACATTCTTTATCATATGCAATCAAAATGTCCTCGGCAATTGACAACACCAGCTTTTTCACCGCAAATTCAAGAAATTTTATCTTTCTGTGCGGCCTATTCTCCAAACTTTGCACGAAAATCGTTCCATCATCAGCACCAACGTAAATATGGGAAAGAAGAGTGTTTGAGATGGCATATGTTATGGTCTGAAGGAAATCGATAGAAAGTATCTGATTACGCGCTGTTTGAAAGTCTATCTGCTTGGCCTTTATACGTATAAACGTATTATTGTTGTTACGTATCGTTTGTATGGCAAGATTACTACTGTTCTGCACGTTAAGATCGAAATCAAACACAGTTGCTCTGTTTCCACACCTTACTACAACGTACCCCTCGACTATTTCGACCGAGCTACCCATTTTGAACGTAAAAAGGTGTTCTGTACAATCTCCCGTGGTTATTTTCACAATACGATTCTCGAGCAGTAGGAAAAGTATGTGGCAAGTATCGTCAAGAACTATGTTCACTATCTTTTCTTTGAGATGGTATTCTTTGATTAGCACATTGCTCAGTTCGTAAAGCCGCAGAACGTTGTCAGCAAACAAATAACGCATCTGTGGCATTTCTAGGTACTTTACGATCTGATGATTGCCCTTTTCTAATTGTACAGACTTAAAAAGAGATTGGTTGAATGGCTTGGTATCACACAAAGTGCTTATTAGCAATTTTGATTTGTACTGATTTAACATTGAATGGGGAATGTTTTTTATTAAATTTTATAATTTTTGAGATAAGTGTTAATCGTATCCGTTACCATGTGGTGTCGGACATGTTACTAGCTTTTCAAATCTGAATGATACTATTTAATCTTGGCTCATTTATGTACGATAATTGTGGCATAGCCTACCTGATAGACCTCTTGAAAACCTTTAGCTGTGAACCACAGACTATGTCACAATAAATCCAGTAAATATGACAAAATATTCAATGATATTGGCTGTAGTGTCATTGAGAGCACGAGACCGTCAGTTAACTGTTTCTCTGAGAAATACACTGTCCTGTTCAGGTTTTTGCATCTTAGTAACAGTAAAGTGTGAGCATAGGCTCATACAATGCAGGTTTGTCTTTGTTTTGACAATTTGTCAGGCTTAAACTCAAAGTAAGGGTCAAAGGAACAGACTCAAAGATAATAAAATTCGATAATTATTGCCCTCGTACTAACAGTGAAAAAGATAATTAAAAATGTACTTGTTCGGATAAGGTGCCAAATAGACTTGCGGTAAAAAAACAATTTAAAAATAATGATACCAACTGAGTACGTTCTTTATTGTGTGTAGATTGAATTGTTACTAATGAAAGTATTCATTTTGTTGCAGATGCGTTCATTTATCTTTACAGCATTGCTCATGTATTTTCTCAGATTCATGAAAAATAATTTGCTTTTTTTGTTGTTGTTACACTGTTATAAATAAGTTAATTATACCTATAATCTATCAAGCTAAAAAAACTGTCTGTTACTTCATGATTTTACGGATAAACGAGCGGTTTAAACCCAAAGCGACGAACAAATGATCTATTCAGCCAAATTATATGGTAAATAAACGATTTTAGTAAGGAAAAGTTTGATATAACCGAAGCGCGTCTCGTAATTCATATCTGAGAGTTATAACATTCTAATATTCCTCACCATAGGCTGCTTATCAATCCGTCAACATTTTTTACCGAAATTTTCCTTTACTCAACTACCATGTTCATGACTTAACAATTGTTTCTATTCGATAGCGCATCTTATAATGATTTAATATTCAAAAAAGTATAAAACCAAGCATAAGCCATTTAGGTAATTCGCTTTTGTCTTTTTCTTCGAACTATCGGTTGTAAATATAAACCGCCGTACGAAACACTTCCATGAAAAGTACGGGATTTGTACATGAATACGGTTCAGTCCTACCAATAAACTTGTTATTGATATTTCTATTAGTTCTGATTCAGTAACTAACACTGCAATCCTTGCTTCACTACTCATCCTGATTTTCATCTAAGGTTCTCGTTGTATCGCAGGTCAACTAAATTTGTTTTTTTATTTTTGAGGTTAACAATCCTGTTTTTGCTGCTAATTTGCCGCGACTGTATCGATATTTGTTTATAATGAGAATCTCGCGGTAGGGGAACTGCAAAGGAAAGCTCAAATTGACAACAACCTGTCAACTAACACATCTCAGTATTCTGTAACAGTGAATGATCATGTCATTAGACTAAGTTCAAAGGCTTGTATATAATAAAAGCTGGTTGGAATAGTGCTAAGTGCTTCATCACCTTCGGAATGACATTATGAGAGATATGTGTTAATGGTAATAGGATATACATGTTATAGAACGTGTTCATACATAAGAAGTTATGTGTAGTTCATCACCAGAATACGTATTTTAGATCTTACAACAGCATATGTTATCCATACCAATCCACGTATTCCTTCCTTTTCTTATCATGATGTCACTTTTGAAAGGTTTGTGATACGATCAGTCATTTAATGAACAACTCGGCCAAATGTGTGAGTTAATGGTTTTTGATCAAATTTTTCCAAGATAAACTAGGAAATAGGTATAATTAACACTTAAAGTCAAGCTTTGTATGCAGTGCAGATATGACATGTAATACGATAAAGGATGTTTTCATTTATAACACTGTATAAAATCTTGATTTAAATCCACTAATTTTGCAATATGTCCCTGTGTGTCCCTTGTAACTTCGGCTACTCAAGTTTATCGGTTGTTAGGCCTGTCAGCATACATTTTTGCACAAAAGAGCATCAATAAATTAGTTGCATAGTATGAACCAAGGCCATATCAATATATCAAACATGGTGATAAGCACTTTTATCGCCATAGAATATAAATAGTCTTCACAATCGCTAACCATGTATATTTTATGTATTTTAGTCGGCATTGGAGCAATCACCGAAAAACATGTGGATCAAATATTAAATGATGTAGCCGAAAAAGTCCAGGTAATACATCAGCAAGTAGAACTTGTTACTAGCTCAATTCCTGCTATGAAACGAATCAGAAGAGGTTTTAATGCCATGCCTAAAAGTGTTTGCACATCAAAGAATCTCTTTTCATTTCATTTTGATATATTTCAGGCCTCTTGCATCGATTTAGACGAATATTTCTTAGCGTTTGAATATTTTCTTGGTTTTTTGCCGTATTTAGTAGGCATTGTGAAAATGTCAGGTATAAACAAAGAAAAGATTGACAACACGATAAACTTGAAGGCGATGAAGAGGCATATGAAGGATAAAATGACTTTTAAGGAATATATTAGCGTGACGTACTCCGATACCGAAAAACTCAAGCGATTTCAGGCCCATCTTCTCGAGTCTCTAAAAAAAATACGCTCAATAATCACAAATTTTGATTATCTTTATAAAAGAGTAGAAAACGGCGTAACTGTTGATCTTTGTTTGTTGAAAGCGTTGAATACAAATCATTCTTGCGTTGATTGCGCTCCGTTACCGTCAACTAGCAAAATATTTAGTGAGATAAAAATTGCTGAAATTGAAATATAATAAGTACATTGCTGAGAAAAAACACTTAACAATACCATGAACATGAATTAACAGTATTATTAAATAAGTTAATGATCTTTGTATTACGCAGTTGCATTTATTATTACTGCGAATATTTTTATTACAATTACTATATTTTCAAGTAGTAAAATTAAAATTACGATGATTATCGGACATTAAAATGTACTTTATTACACCTTGTAAGGACACAAACTTTTTATAACGATTCTGTTTTGGCATTTTTACAGGAATAGGTTAGATTTTCAATGATAAATAACAATAATTACGTTGTTTTTCATCTGCAACAATTATATATCGCATATTTTAACTTGAATATTCAACATTTTATCCTCAAGTTTGAGCAGTTTTGTTAGTGGCCCTATGCAACATACTCTAATCGTGGCAATCCTGTATTACCTGCGCTCAAGGCCTGTTTAAGCCAAAAAATTTGAGAAAAAAATTGAGAACAACAAATTGAACAAACATTGCAGTGGCAAATAAACACACCTTATAAACTTTAAAATACTCAAATAGACAGTCATTTCGCTTTTTAAACAAAAATGGCACAATAATCAATCCCTACTAGCAACACAAATAAATACAACTGCCGAATTATTTACGATGGACCAAGAAGTTTATCGCCGTACGTTGCCGTAGTAGAAGATAAACAAACGTACATTTGGTGACAAAACGTATTTGTAATTCATTTAGTTATCTACAGCATCATTGTATAATCATCTTACACATTTGCATGTCAATCGTAAGCCTCATTCCTCTCACCACATCTACACATTCCTCATACAGCACCATTTTGAAAGTTTTGATTCCTTCTTCCCCAAGCACACCAAATCTTGCACCTTTTTCCATTATCTCTCTGATGCCTTTGTATCTTTTCCTGATCACAGAATCTACCAGTATGCGTTTATACTTTGATACGAATCTTTTTATGACCCGCAGCCTCTCGAGACGATAAAACATTTCAAATGAGTCACCAAACAAATACTGCATTTCTTTTTTGTTCGTATGTATGATCTGCAAGTCATCCATGTTTAACTTCTTGAAAAAAATAAAAATTTCAGCAGGATTGTGCAAAGAACTTTCATCTAGGAGTATGCTGTTCAAGTCCAACAGATCTTCATAGCCCTCATAACCTAAATAAATACGAGCATTGAATATTTTTGAATGTTTCAATTCATAGAAGAACGATCTTATGGTAGTCCAAGGCACACGGAAAACCAGCTTAAAATGCCTTATAAGTCTTTCTCTCAGAAATATATTCGAGCAATCCGTTATTCGTACGGGTACAAGCTTGTTTATCCTGTTCAAAATTGCAAGATCGTCACAGTTTGTATCAGTATTCTGCACAAAATTGTGTTTTTTAACATCATCCTCTTTTTCTTGTGTTGCGTCTTTTTTTCCGACCATCAATGTCGTCCTGCATCACATTACTTCCATCAACGCTTTTTTCTCCCCACTTTTCCTCGCGATATTCGTAATTCTTCAAAAAACATCTTCTATTCCTGACAACCAGGCAATTTAGTAGTTCATTAAACTGCTTTTCATCAATCAAACGCATTGAGCCGCAATGTAAGGCTTTTTCACAGTTCTTGTACACATCATAATAGGCATTCGAGCCAAAGAGGTTGTTTGTGTAATTTCGCTTTAAATTACTTATAATTTCTGTGTAAGAGCTAGCCGTTTGCGAATACGCGTGAATGCCGGAATAAACATTTGCATCTTCGTTTTTTGTACCACTACTCACCAATATCATAAATATAACATAAATAAGTGCATCTGAACACTCTTCGTAGCCGACCATATGCTCACAAATTCTTTCTTCGATCATTTCGAACAGTTTGACTAGCATCGCATTGAATTCTCTTCTGATCCAATCCTCCCCTGACACCAATTTATAATGAAAGGCACATCTAAGGTTATATATTATTGCGTCTATATCAACATTTCCATCCGCCATGAATAACTTAACCTGTGTGTTCAGGTACTCTAAAACTAATTTTTGAGCAGGAATGTCTGATAGAATTGAAAATGCCTCTATTTCGGAATGTTTCATGGGTAAATTTCTTCGTTCTATGCAATATTCGATAAAAATATTTTTGTCGATCTTTTGGGCACTCCTGACATAAAACACGATGTAACCATCACAGTAACAGTTTACCTTCTGCCGAAGAGCACTGTCTGCGAGTAACACGTCGATAAGATATGAAAACGAGCCCTTGACTCGTTCCAGAATATTACAATCTCCCTTTCTTGCATCACTCATGGCATATTTCATGCCTACCTTTGCTTCCTTATTACTAGACTTGACAATTAATTCCTTATCATTTTCTGTTTCTACGCTTATATCTCGGTTCTTTTCCATGTTCTTAACTATCAACCCAGGTCTACCCACAACACCAATAAATTCCTCTACGTCACGTAACTCTTTTTTCTTTACAATTTTGTCATCACAGCTCATCATAAAGCATCCCTTTCGTCCCAAACCATCGAGTCGGACCACGCAATTTCCAATCACGCCCCCACCACACACATTCATACTTTTATCACAAATACCAATTCTCAAACTTTTTTTCCTGTCAAGAGAGACTTCTCTGTCGTTTATCATTAATTCACCGGTAAAAGAAGTTTCATTCTCAGCTCTGTGTTTCCTTACGTCGTCAGGCGTGATATACGAAAGTGTCATTGCTAGAGAAATTCCCTTATAGCAAACATAATCTATGTTTAAACAGTCGAGTGCGTAGTAGCAATCTCGCAAATGCGGAAAACTACCGGTCAAATTACCGTTTACATGGTATTGCAAGCTCCTATCCTTTACACACACATCCTTTCGCGTCCCATCGTTACCATAGTTGACCACAAAATCATCCATAAACATAAAATTGTACCGCTTTATAATATCATCCAATTTTTGTATTAACAATTCTGCAGACATGCTCAGGTCAAAATAGCATCTTTCTCTATCACTGAGATGTATGGGTATGTCTTTTTCTACGGAAGATACCTGTATTTCCTTCAGTTCCACCATTTTTCTTTTTTCCTACTCCTTTTTTAGGTGTAAATTTTTTTATAGCTTATGAAATTGGCTTTAACTATGGTAATAGGGCCAAAAGAACTGAAATTGATCATGGAATAGAAAATTTAAATATTGGTAGAAAGCTACAAATATCATGTTGTGCTCGACCGTACAGTTAATTACGAGCTGTTCGTTTTGCTTGATAGCGATCGCTAAAGGAGAAACACTCCTTTAATAGCATTCAATTATCTTCTGTGTCTCAGCCAATCATTTACAGTAGTCTCTATCGTTAATGTTCGTGTTATAAGCTACCAATCACCGATGTTAAAATTTAATATTGGTTCGCTGTGCTGTATTATATCCCTAGTGATATGTTCTTTGATCCTACCACCGTTCATATTCATGGCAAGTTGATTTTCGATTTGTTAAGCGCTAAGTGCTTCCAGAATATCCTTTGAAAAAGTTTCCGTAGTAACGGATTAAACAGCACGATTTTGTATAAAAGTGCAAATGGTCATTCACCAAAGATTTTTTATAAATATAAATCAAATATCAAAGCTTAAGATAAATTATAAACATTGTATTGCTAGCTTTGTGGCTGTTGGCACAACGTGATTTAATAGACAAATCAATCACAACTAATTCGGCTAAATGATTGGAAACTTTCAATTATCTTCCAAATGTTATCACTGTTTTATCAGATAAAGGTGACATGATAATGGATGCATTGTCAAACCACAAAGTCATAAGTAATGGGTTTTAAGAGAATGAAGAATCATGATACCAGTGGAGCAGAGCAAGTCATACATGTTTAATTACAAGCGTTGATATAATTTGGATTAAATTTTACGATCTGCGGTCCACTTTTGTCTTAAACACAGCATCTTTAAAGAATACCCCGGAATAACACCAATGCCGATAGCCAAACTCTCTACTGTGAACGAATGTCTTAATAACTTAACTAAGAAAATTTTTTTAATTAAAATTGCTGATAAAATCGTCCGGGTTCAGACGCTTAATTTCACCACGTACCTTCTTACTCAGAATAATAATATTGTGCGTGTCCCAGCGTTTAAGATAATTAGTAAATTTCTCATCGTTACTACAAATGAAAAAATGTACATCTCCTATTCGAGTTAACACCATTACATTTTTATCCTTCTTACTTATATTCGTGAATATGGTGTTAAGATCCTTAAGAATGCTTGTCTTGTCGCCGATTAGTTCGGTAAATATAACTGGTTTCTCTGATCTGCAGTATAACCTCACTTTTTCATTTCTTATTTTTATGCTTTCTTTCAGTTTAGTCTGCTTTATACTCAAAAAGCGCAGTTTATCAAGCAGGCCCAGATTGTCTTCCCATTCATGACACGTGCTCAGTTCAAAGCTCTCAATTTTTAATGCGTTATCATGGCATTCGAGCGCTCTGTCATGAGTATAAGCAATGATGCGTCTCACGTTGGAATTAACACGGTACTCACTGATGATCTTAAAACATTTGATCTGTGCGAGGTTGTTCACGTGCAATCCACCACAGAGCACTTTATCACCGTTTACCTCAGCTATACGCACGATATCAGGATAAATTCCCTCATCCTCAATGTAAATATTTTCATTTTTTACGTCCTCGTATCGTTTCTCATAAATTTTAACGCTATGATCGGCCACAAGCATTTCATTCAGCTTGTCTTCCATTTCTTTTATCTCATCATTTTCCAATTTGCGGTTCATTGTGTAATCGAGTCTGAACCGATCATCTGCCACCAAAGTTCCTTTTTTTGCTGAACCCAATTTCTCGTTTATAATTTGGAAAAGCAGATGAGC